AACAGGCAACCCGGAACTCGTTTCGGCCGTGCAGATCGTCCAGTTTACCAGTCCCTCCAACCTGTTCCCCTTTCAGCATACCAAAAAAAAAACAACGAAAAGGTGACTCTAGTATTATGCCGGCGAAGTGAAAACAAACCAGATAAATAGAATTCAGTGATAGAATGAGTGAAATGAGGCTTCTCCTGTACACACTAACCACATTACTGCATTGCAAGATCAGCAAAAGATAAAGAGAAGGGAAAGATAACCATCGAAAAGTCTCCTTTCACGACCTCCTTGTACCACGATGTGAGCCCGCGAAGGCACCCACAAAACCTCGAGTGTGGGAGGCACCACCACTCGCAACGCCAGTACCGGTAGAAGCCATCGGCGTCACTGTTGTTGGTGTTGCCATAGCTCCTGTCGTGCTCGTCGATGACGATGCAGCAAACGACGAGGGCAGGGATGTTCGAGGAAATATTCCAGCTACGGAGCGCTGACCCACTACTTCTTCCTCCCCCCTCATCCCCCGAGAGATGGCAGAAGTGGAAGCGGAGGCAGAAGCGGAAGCAGTAGTTGTGGCAACGGAAGAGGAGGCGATTGAAGAAGAAGAAGCAGTCTCCGGTTCATGAACAACGGACTCTTCGCTAGGGTCGGTGAGGGAGGTGGAGGGTTGAGGGGCAGCAGCAGTGGTGGTGAGACCAAGACCAACTGCGCTGCCACGGCACATTGCAGTGTCGAGGATTTCAGCATCAGAAAGATCACGATCGGAGATGGAGAGAAGGAAGAGCATTTCTTCGTGGATCTTGGATTCAGGGAATTCGACCTAAGCAAAAATGGTCCCAGCGTGAGATTAACCACAGTGGAGAACTACCCTTGTAAACTACCAGTTGCATCACTTTCATTATTTGAAAAAGAACTGCTTCTAGAACAGACCAAGTTGGAAGGGGCATCAAAAGAGAATTGATGACAGAATAACGTCTAGACTCCTTTAATGGAGTCGAAGTCTATGTTGGCAGTGCTTCAAACACTGCTCCTCACCGGAACTTCCTATCCACCTCCAAATCCTGTGGCAGACCCTAGCTGCCACTGATGTAAAAGCGTCCTCATTGCGATCACCTTGGGATGGAGTCTGGTGTTACCAACTAATGCTTTTGAGATAACTCTTGAAAGATGAAGGCCACTTCAGTCAGTCAGCAAATGCGCGTTTTGCCAGGGTGGAGTCAAGAAGTGCAAAAAGAATCACAAGTACTTTATGCCTCTTGTCATCTAATGCTGCATTTGCCTTCAACTTTAAATTTGCCTCACAGTTTTAACACCCACGTTAGACGTAAGCAACAGCATTGAACTGAGCCCTAGTTACTTGGTGACATAATGAAGCATATACGTCCCTTTTTAGCACAAAACCGTTCCTTGAGCGGTATTTTTGTAAGACATTTAACGTACTACTTCGTCTCCAAGTCCTGTGGAGGTTAGCCTCCGCAACGCTATAGTTCTCTTCAGCCAAGGTGGAATGATGGTCAGCACAATTCAGTTGAAGCATAAGGAAGCCAAGAGAGAGGTCAGAGTATGATGCCCTAGTGATACACTGCCAGAACTAGAGTTCAAGATTGCAGTAAACAAAAATGAACATCCCTAGGTATTGGAGAGTTTCACAAACCATCCCCAAAGCAATGAGGTGCACAATTCTCCTTGAAGCCCAACAGTTTCTCATCACAATTCTAAAGTTATGAAACAACCAACTCTCTATAAATCTGAAGAACAACAAAAACAAACTCACCTTAATGAGTCGTTTCTCGGAGGAGTAGTGAATGGCAATGCAGTCGATGCTCTTGAGTTTGTGACACCGCCAATAGAAACCCCATTCACAAATCTCATTTTGTTCACACTTGTCTCTTACATCCTTTATGAAGACCACCCGATCGGCGAACATGAGAGCATATTTCTCCAAACACTCAATATTTCGAAGCAGGTTGTCATGCGAGTTACTGTGGGAGAAAATACGAGCCAGGCAAATAAACTCATTCCAATACTTGTTTACACAACAGACAATCACAACAATGATCCATCTCGGCAGTGCTCTCCTCTAAACTGCGCCTTCTTCAACTAGGCATACAATGAGTTGGGTGAGAAATCAGCAATTGAATTTCTTTTTGCAAGGTAAGCATGTTGAAAGCCCTCCCATCGGGTTCGGTTGGGGGTGATGATGGAGCACGCATTTGACGATGTTCTGCCCCCTCAAAGGTAAGTCATTACAGCTAGGCGTACCGGAAATTACAACCACCTTGAGTCACATGATAGGCTGGCACCAGGGGAAGTGATTGATGAGTACCACCAAATTCTACGACGTACATAGGCACCGTTTTAACACCACATATGTGTTAGTAACGTTCTTATTTGGTATCATTCGAGCTTAGGCAAAACATAATGCAAATTTCATGCTTAATCCACCGTAGCTGTGGAGGGATTTGAAGGACATTGATTAAAGGTGATATGAGAAGCCAGGAGAGCAATACAGTCCAAAGATGAACTTCAAGCGATGAGGTGCCAGGTGACGGTGAAAGGTAGTGCTAGTAAAATGCTAACAATTGGAGCTTCAATTCCCGTGACCAGCGATTGAGTGAAGTGATTATAGAGAAGTAATTAAAATCGGACTTGGATAAACTGTCTACCTAAATTCGTAGCATTAGCACTCGTGAAGCATAAGCAGTTTTACCGCCAAGTCTAGAAAAGTGAGTTTAGGAATTAAGCTTCACCTACCTTCAGCCCCCAAATGTGGCACGAGCTAAGTAAAACTGCGATTTTAGTTCGACCTACGGCGAGATGCGAGTGTCAAAGTTCATCAATGAAGAGAGGTCTCATTTACGTTACCAAAAACGATTCTATAATTGACATGTTGCACACTGGAGTTTGGCATTTTTAGAAGTTGTAAAATCCCATATCGGATGAAGGGGATTGTACGTATTCTGCGGTCAGCCCTTCTTTCTTCTAAAGCCCGAATCACCCAAAAATGGACGCCCGAGAGCAGTTAGAATTACAATACCCTCAGTTCCTCTGATTTGGCGTATTGTATAGGTGGACGAATGTGTGCCTAACTTCAGAAACGATAGAGTCAAAATAATCCCAGGCCACTCGAGCCTAGTCAGCTTCACCTTCTCCCCTTTTCAGAGGTCCGTCAAACTGTCAAACCATTCTTCACCTAAAGCTGAAGCTAGTGGTGGATTGACATCCACTTACGTGACAGCAACTATAAGGTATTTGGGTAATCAATGATTTGAAACGTGGTCCAATTGGGGGGAACTTATAGGTTAGTATGTTACTTTCCTTCTTTGGCACCCCACATAAAATCTAATCATTCACATCCATTGACTAGTCTCATTCACACACAC